CTAACTATAGTTTAAAAACGGTAGCTGCTTTCGTAAAATGTCAACGCATGGAGGATGTCGGAATCTGCTTTGCATTTTTGGCAAATTTACTAAAGGTGTGCAGCTGCTGCTCTGAGGACAGATCAGACTTGATTTACAATGGGCCTTAATGGAGACATGTTGAAAGTTGCTGTCACTTCATGCCCTCGGGAGGCATCTTTTTTTTTATTTTTCAGCGTAAGAGAGGTTTTCCTACAATTCAAGCATAGAATTATGTTCCAGGAGTGTAGGGTTTGGGAATTATGGCAGTTTAAAAAGAAAAATGTAAGGCGAATTTCAAGCTGTCCCCCACCCTAGCTGTGACATCACGCACTCTAAGCCTTAACGAGCTGCGCAATACACACTCATGTTAAAATCTGAAGAAGGCCTCTTAACCAAGCTCCATACTAAGTTAAATATCTCAAAAAGTGTAAAATCTATGAAAGATCTGAAGAATACCTTTTATAGCTGAAGGTCTTGTGACCGTTTAAAAGTTGGAATGAAGTCTCTAACTAAAAGTATGTGGAAGGAGTAGCATTTGGCGCACGGTGTAGGTAAAAGAGGATTTGAAGGTTCCTCCCATTGAGTTAAATGTTAAAAAAAAATAGTTTAAAAAGCAGAATATTTCCAAATGTATAAAATATTTTTAAAAAGTTGAAAGTTTCCCATCATGTGATGAAAAGGCTGAATATTTTCATATTTGAATGGTTTCTCTAGCTGAAAGTAGGCTGAAGTTATTCGACGGCAAAATATTGGTTGAAATAATAACTAGAAAATGCATTTCCTGCTGAAAATGCCTGCGAATGCTGTAAACTGTGTACATTTGTTGCTGAATTTAGCTGAAAATGCAGAATTCGCACTAAATATAAGTCAAACATTGAATTTTGGCATTTCTAGCAAATGTTCCACCATAAATTGATTTTGCACCAAATTATGGTGGAAATGCCTTAATTAGAAGATAAGAAGAAATGCAGGCTGCTTTAGACAGTTAGAAGTATCAGTATTATTTTCAAGTATTTATTCTTCAACAGACATGTAGGCATGTAGACCCTCCTCTTTAGTTTTTTTGGAAGTTACATTCATTACATTTGCATGTGCCAGCTATTCGCGTCAAAGATACATTCATTATTTATTTTTACTTTATAAATCCCTGTAGCTTAATAACTCCTGTGGAGTTGAACAAGATTTGAAATTTGCATCATGACATCATTTTTAATTTCAAGACATTTTGAGGCATTAACTAATTAAACTGTTACAAATCTATAAAATATTTGTACCTTAATGTGTAGGCCTACACCTTAATTTGAGTGCCTTTCTTAGGAAATAGTCAGCACAATCTTTCTGTACCAGCTTGGCAGTTAACAGTTAATTCTGTGTTTTATGTACAGCGCTATATGGCTAATGTTAGCATGCTAACACACTAAAGTTAGGTGGTGAACAGAGCATTCATTAGATCTGTTAAGCCAGTTAACACGAGTCAAGTTAGCATCCTAAAGTTTGCAGATTTTAATTGAACATTGATACACCAACGTTAACATCTTAGCTTACTAAGCCAACTGCAGCATTTTCACTCTGATAAAGGTAGCTGATAAAGCACATAATAGACTTGCTAGCATTTTTGTAGACTCTTAATCTTGTTTACTGTATTGTAGATTATACAAAAAACAATTTCACGTATAAGTAATTATAATATCCCTCAACTGACATACTTCACTCACTTTAGCTATAGATGACTGATTGTCCGGTACCTGTTGTATAAAAGCAAACAATTCCATTCATTGTCTGCAAAAAAGCGAATGAAACAGATATTTTCCAAAGACACATGCCAGGCATCTTGTCTGAGCTTCTCATAGTAGCTCCATTTAGGTTGTTTCTTTGGTAGAAATTAGCATAAATTACATTTTTAAAAAGATTGTTCACATTCAGCAGAGCTCTAAACATGACTCCATCCAAACAGACTTCACTGAGGATAAACTTCTCAATCTCTTTTTGTTGCATCCACTTCTTTTCTTTTCAGATACGTTTTATACTTGATGATCTATAATTATGGGCAACTAAAAGAAAAGTATTTGTTGTAGTCGTGTTTTATCGAGTGTGTGCTTTTAATTATTTACATTGTTATGTTCCCTTTCTTCTGGACTGTTGTGATATTGACTTCCAAGGAAAGAAAAATAAGATCATAAAAAAAGTATTGTGTACCTTATTCTGTTGTTAAAGCTCTTGAGAATATTACAACATGGTTTTTTACATTTAATTTTTTTAATGATAAATACTTTTTTTATCATTTGAAATAATTTATTTAAAAGTGTATATTTTATATATTTAATGATGTTAAAAAATCTAAATGTATTTTTTGTAGCCGAGAATCCACTGTTAAAAAAATACATATTTGTTTTAAAATAATTTAATATATTTTCATTACTATGACTATGATATTGCCATAATGGGGTAGCCCTTAATTAAAATAAATGGCCATACGAAATGCTTTAGTTAAGTGTCGTATGTGAGATTGTATAAAAACATGTGTAAAATATGAATGGAGTAATGGGCCCAACAGCCCTTCTCTAATTATCTTCCTCTTCTGCATATCTGCCATCTGTCCTCTTGCCCCTTCCTCGTCTCTCCCCCTCCTCCCTCAGTTAGGCCTCCGCCCCTCTGTGGGGCTGACCCTCGGCCCCTCTCCTCCGAGCTCCGGGTGACTCAGCTCCAGGGCCCCCTGCGTCTTGGCCTCCTTCGTCCCCGTCCTCAGCTTCCATCTCCTCCGCAACATGCTCGTCGTCGTCCAGCCCCTCCTCGTCCTCTTCGTCATCACTCCTCTCAGAGTCTGACTCATCCGAGTTGTCCTCTTCCAGGTAGCGGTAGCCTTTGACCTGCGGACACAAATAATATATGTTATTGATGGCTGGGAAAGAGGTGTTCCAAAGTCAAAATGTGTTTGCTCTCATTCTATTTACATATAAAAAGTTTCACAATAAGTGACTCGCATTTCGAAAAGATTTCCTCCATAGAGGCTTGTTCCTTCAGTTTTTTCAGAAATTGGCGTTATAGGCTATTTACGCATGGCTCTAATTTGACAGTAAATAGTGTAGAAGAAGACAAAAAGTATTATTACTTTTGTGTATCAAGATACTGTATATTAAGTACTCTGCTTTGAATAACAATTTGTGTTCAAAGTTTTCCAAAAATAAGTTCAATTACTTAAAAAATGACATGTACTCCTTCTTCCTTCCTTAAAATCCTAGAATCAGTCTAAAAAAAAAAGAAACAAATACAATTGATTTAAAAAGATGACTGACCTCACTGCGGTTCCTCAGTGTATGTGCACTGGGCATTTCAAATGTCCACATCACACTTTTGTGTGATGCATATTTGACTATGAATGGCTCCAGACAATTTGGGATGTTAAAAAATAATGCATGTATGAAAGGTTTAAAGTGAGATATAAAGGGAGAACACGGAAACGTCTCCGTTCAGTGTATGGATGACATCCAACTAATGGAACAATAAGCTAAACACATTTCTGTTTCTTTTTGGGGGGGTTTTGAAGGCAGAAAAAATACATTTTAACTTAATACCAACATTTTATTGACTTGAAATGAGAAATATAAAACAAACTAGCAGAAAATGCTTATTTGTGATATTGCAATCAAAATAAAAAATGAACATAGCAGCACGTGCACAGATCAGGGTTTCCGCTAGGATTTTTTCTTGCCGGTCAAATGTCCAGAAATAATTTATTTAACCAATATTATTATTATTATATTATCAAGAAGAAGAAGAAGAAGAAGAAGAAGAAGAAGAAGAAGAAGAAGAAGAAGAAGAAGAAGAAGAAGAAGAAGAAGAAGAAGAAG